CCCCCCCCCCGAGGCCCGCGGCGCTTCTGCCCGCCAAGTGCCGCGACACCGTCCCGCTCCCCAGGGCCCCCAAGGTCCGCAGGGCTCCTCTTTCACCTTCGTACCCACCCTCGGGAGGTACAATCCAAACCCAAAATCTGAGTAGCACCGTCTGGCGACCGCAGCATTCGAAATTTCCAGGCAAAAGATGGTGGAGGGGGCGGAGCCGCACATGTGCAGAAGAAACCCGGAAAAGCCCATCCCATAGTCCTGCGCAGGTGTCGTCACTGCAGAGGGAAACTACATTTCCCAAATGGCAGAGCGAGCGGAGCCCAAGTACAGAAGGAACTTGGAGCAGCTGTTTAGTGGGCCTATTCTGGTGACGTCACTGGAGAGCGAGACTACATTTCCCACAAGTCTCTGCCATCATCCTTTTGGGACCTAAGGTGATTTTGTTAATTTTCTCAGCAGGGATTCTTGCTACCAGGAGAACAGGACCTGATGGATCAAGACTGGTCTCTTTTCACGTTGTTACGAGGTAGAATTCTGATTCTTTATTAAATCCTGGTTTGACAACCTGAGGCATTGTTAGAATAACGGGGAAATTCGAATGTGGGCCAATTACCGCGATATTAATAAGTAATTTCACTTTTCTAGTTGTCATATAGGTATTGCTATTCTAGGACCCATGTTTATTTTTGCAGATGCATTTTAGAGGATGAAAAAATCATGCATCTATTTTCCTTTAAGTGGTTAAACAAATGAGAAATTAATATGGTAGGTCTCTTAAGTGGTTAAACAAATGAGAAATTAATATGGTAGGTCTCTTCCAAGCCATTAGAAAGTGTTCTCATCCAATAAACTGATTTGTCTTCAATGGACTGTACTACACAGTTGGAAAAGGTTTGTCCCTCTCTCCCAGAAAAAGAACTGGTTATTATTACAATCTATTGATGTGACCCTATTAAATTCTAAATTTTAATCCTACAGCCATTGTAGGGCAATGAGCCATGTATTTGCCACCTGAAACAGACTAATACTAACCAGACTCATAGTAACCCAGCTAACGTGAGGCCTTTGTTACTGTCTCATGTTGTGAACACCCCCTTTTCTCCTGGGTCTCCCTCTATTCTTACTAGATAACACTTCCTTTGCAGTAAGGACACCTGACGCAGTGTGTTTCAGATTAACACTTCGTGCACTTTAGGATTCATATTTTGAGTCTTCTCTGTACACACAAGTTTTAATTCTATAAATCAGCTGATAATTAAGATTCAGATGGAAGTTCCAAAAGGAGGTCACCTCGATCATTCTGACCCTAGAGAATCTGGATCATGTCTCTCCTCTAGCTTCTGGCAGTGTACTGGCAACCTGTGACATCCCTTGTGTTGTAGAATCATCACCCTGATGTTTGCCTTCATCTTCCTATAATGTTCTCCCTGTGTGGTCTGTGCACAAATTCCCCCAATTTATAAGGACATTAGTCATACTGGATTAACTAATTACAACTACAATGGCAGTATTTCAAAATAACATCACATTCTGTGGTAGTGTGGTTTAGGACTCTAACATATAAATTTGGGGGAAGGGCGAACACGATTTAACTCATAATAGAGACTTATCACTAACTTCAGCAGAAGCTATGAATGATAGCACCTCCTCACCAAATGGAGTATAACAAGTCTCCTGCTGGTATGAACAGAGACAGCCCATCACATTACTCTAGATTTCAGATTGGCTGCTTGTATGGGTTTGCTTGGGCTGCCATACACAACACCATGGACTGGGCAGATTAAACAACA